AAATAATTCCTTGGACGCCTCGGGTGCAGAGCCGATGTGACCTTCCTCGTCTCTCTCTTCCATGCCTTCTCTCTCTCTTTCCTTCTATTTCTGTCTTCTTGTTATTCTAAGTCTTTATTTGTATGTGTTTTCGTTTACTTTTTTTTCAAGCTTCTCTGTCTCTCTGTCTCTGTCTCTGTCTGTCTCTCTCTCTCTCTCTCTCTCTCTCTCTCTCTCTCTCTCTCTCTCTCTCTCTCTCTCTCTCTCTCTCTCTCTCTCTCTCTCTGTCTCTCTCTCTCTCTCTCTCTCTCTCTCTCTCTCTCTCCTATCCTTCACCTACCCCTTTTTCCCCTTTCTCTCCTTCTTCCCCTCTTTTACCTTTCCCCTTTTTTCCCTTCCTCCCTTCGCTCCCGAGGGACACATCACCTGTTAGCCTTCCTCTGATATTAATTGCGGAATCACTTATCCCAAAACCCGGCCTGTTCTCACGTAATCCAGTCGCCGCCCAGCTGTTGGTTGTCGCGGGGAGGTCGGGGGATTCGTGTCCTTATTTCTGGTTGTTTTTGTGTTTGTTTGTTTTTTGGTTTTTTGTTTGGTTGTTTTGTATTTGTTTTGGGGTTTTGTTTGGTTGTTTTGGTTTCGTTTGTTTGTTTTGTTTGGTTTGGTTGTTTGTATTGGCTGGTTGTGTTTGTTTTGGTTTCGTTTTTTTGTTTGTTTGGTTTGGTTGTTTGTATTGGCTGGTTGTGTTTGTGTTGGTTTCGTTTGTTTGGTTGGTTGGTTTGGTTTGGTTGTTTGCATTGGCTGGTTGTGTTTGTTTTTGGGTTTGTTTGGTTGCATTGGTTTTGTATTTGTTTTTGTTTGGCTCGGTTGTTTGTTTTTGTTTTGATTTAGTTGTTTTCTGTTTGTTTTTGTTTAGTTATTTTCATTTGTTTTGGTTTGTTGTGTTTTGCTTGGGTATTTGTTTTTTGTTTTTGCTAGGTTGTTTTTGTTTTGGTTTGTTTGGTTGTTTTGGTTTTGCTTTCTGGGTTTTGTTTGTTCTGGTTTTTGTTCTTCTTTGTAGCTTGTTTGTTTGTTTGTTTTTTGTTTTAGTGTGTATTTTGTGTGTGGTTTAGTTTTGGTTGGCATGACTTGTGTTTGTTTTAGATTTCGTTTTTTTGTTTTTGTCTTTCTATATGATGTAGGTGGATTCGTTGACATTTGCGCTATAAAAATATTCATTTAGTAATAATAATAATTTAATTTTACTATCTCACTATCTATCTCTCTTTCTATTAGTCTCTCTCTCTCTCTCTCTCTCTCTCTCTCTCTCTCTCTCTCTCTCTCTCTCTCTCTCTCTCTCTCTCTCTCTCTCTCTCTCTCTCTCTCTCTCTCTCCCTCTCTTCTTCTCTCTTTCTCTCTCTCGCTCTCTTTCTCTCTCTCGCTCTCGCCTTCCCTCTCTTTATATATATCTTTCGCTCTCTCTCTCTCTCTCTCTCTCTCTCTCTCTCTCTCTCTCCCTCTCTTTCTTTCTCTCTCTCGCTCTCTTTCTCTCTCTCGCTCTCGCCTTCCCTCTCTTTATATATATCTTTCGCTCTCTCTCTCTATCTCTCTCTCTCTCTCTCTCTCTCTCTCTCTCTCTCTCTCTCTCTCTTTATTCTCTCTCTTTCTCTTTATTCTCTCTCTCTTTCTACTCTCTTTGTAAGTTTATCTATCTAGCTATCTCTTTCCTTGTCCATCTGTGCCCAGGTATCTGTTTATATATCTATCTATATATCTACATATATATATCTATATGTTTATATATCTGTATATTTATACATCTCATCTCTGTATTTATCTGTCTATCTATCTATCTACCTATATATTCATCTCCATATATTCATCTCTACATATCTACCTATCTAACTAACTGTATACATCCTTACACGTGTCTATCTATTTGTTTCTACATCAACCTATATCCAGCACTTATCTATCTATCGCTATCTATTTACCATTGTTGAATAGATATTATCCAACGATTTAGCCCGAGAGATAAAGTATAACCCCTCCTCCCCCCACCCCCCCAGTCCCCTACTCAACCCCCATTCCCTCCTACTTCCTCCTCCTCCTTCTCCTCCTCCTCCTCCTCCTCCTCCTCCTCCTCCTCCTCCTCCTCCTCTCCTCCTCCTCCTCCTCCTTCCCCTCCCCTTCCTTCTCTTCATCCCCCTACTCCTGCTCCTCCATGTTTCCCCTCTCCTTCCCCCTCTCCCCCCCACCCCACCCCCACCCCTCCCACCCCAAGACAAAAAACAGAAGAGATAAAGAAAAATAAAGAATAAACTTTCTCACGGAGGTTCAGGATGAGGGCGAGTGGGAGAGGGGGAGAGGGGGAGAGGGGAGACGGAGGGTGGGAGGGAAGGAAGAGGGGAGAGGGAGGGTGGGAGGAAAAGTAGAGGGGAGAGTGGAAAGAAAGGAAAGAAGAGGGAGGGTGGGAGGGAAAGAAGAGGGGAGAGGGAGGGTGTAAGAGAAAGAAGTGGATAGAGAGGAGAGATAAGAGGATAGACGGAGAGGGGAGAAGGGTGAGGGAGGGTGAGAGGGAAAGAAGAGGGGAGAGGGAGGGTGGGAAGGTAGGAAGAGGGGAGAGTGGAAAGAAAGGAGAAGTAAGAGAAGAGAAGGAGGTTGGGAGAGAAGGAAGAGGGGAGAAGGAGGGTGTGAAAGAAGGAAGAGGGGAGAAGGCGGACGAGGGAGGAGAAAGGAGAAGGGGAGAGGGAGAGGGAAAGAGGACGAGGAGCAGGGATAGAAAAGGTGGGGAAGGTAGACCAAAGGAGGAGAGAAGAAGGGGAAGTGTGAAAGGAAGGAGAAAGGTTGGGGGAAGAGAGAGCAAGAGAGAGAAGAGGGGAGAGGGAGCGTGGGAGAGAAGGGAGAGGGGAAGAGGGAGGATGGGAGAGGACGAAGGAGGGGAAAGGAGGAAGGGAATTATGAGTAATGGAGGGGAGAAGGGGAGGGAGATAATACGAGGAGAAGGGGAAGTGAAGGTGGGGAAGGTGGAGCGAGGAAGTGGAGAAGGAGAAGGGGAAAGGTTAGGAGAAGAGAGAGCAAGAGAGGGAAGAGGGAATGGGAAGAGAGAGCAAGAGAGGGAAGAGGGAATGGGAAGAGAGAGCAAGAGAGGGAAGAGGGAATGGGAAGAGAGAGCAAGAGAGGGAAGAGGGAATGGGAAGAGAGAGCAAGAGAGGGAAGAAGGAGGGGAAAGAGAAAGCAAGAGAGAGGAGAGGGAGGGGAAAGAGGAAGAAAAGAGGAGAGAGGGAGGGGGAAGAGAAAGCCAGAAAGGGGAGAGGGAGGGGGGGCAGAGGAGGGAGCGTGGGAGGGGAAATGTCGCCGTGGTTGTCGCGGCCAGATCAATCTGACACAATTCAACCCCAATTACTCCCCTCACGCCCGAGTTCCGCCGCTGAGAGAGAGGAGAGAAGGCGGGCGGCCCGAGCGTCCCTCCGCCAAGCCGAAGCCAGAGCCAGGGACCTCGTTCGGAACTCGGAATTCCATTTAGGTCTGATCCTCAAAAGTGTCTGTGGGTTTTGCGTTGAGTTGGTAATCATTTTGATAATCGGTTAATCCGCGTATTCATGTTTAAAGGATTATAATAAAAAAATATCCTTACTGCCAAAAGATTTCATTAGGAATTGCATATGATTTTTTTTGTTTCACTTCGCTTGCTACCATTATGTTTAAATTGAAAAGGATATGATGTGCTCATCATCTTTTTCTTCAAACTTTTTTCTTTCTCTCTTTTCCTCTCTCTCTCTCTCTCTTCCGCTTTCTCCCTTTCTCATTCTCTCTCTCTCTCTGTCTCTCTCTGTCTCTCTCTCTCTCTCTCTTTCTCTTTCTCTCTTTCTCATTCAATCTCTCTCTATCTATCTATCTATCTATCTTGCTCTCTCTCACCCTCTCTGTCTCATGTTCACTTTTTTAATCTACCTCGATCTCTTTATCCAAATCTCTCTCTCTCACACATTAACTCCCTCTTTCTCTCCTTCTCCGTCTCATTTATCAAATCACTCCCATCTGCTCGCTTTTCCTTTCAGTTCCTCTCCTCCAATATATCTCAGACACGCACGTGCAATCAAGCTAACCGCAAGTAATTATCGTGAAAATCAGACTCACCATTCATAACGGTATTCTGATAAATTAACCGGATATCGAAAACGTTAGCGCGCGCACCCTGCACTGCGGAGATCGACGGAGAGATCAGCTGGGCAGAGTTAAAGAACGTTTTCCCAGCGTCGAAACGTTTTCCCAGCGTCGAAACGTTTCCCCAGCGTCGAAACGTTTTCCCAGCGTCGAAACGTTTCCCCAGCGTTAATGATTTCCTGATGTGTTGAGATCCTCGACAGAACTCGTTGTCTGACATGTCTTCTGGTGTTCAGGGACAACGATCTAACACACAGACACTGTACAAATCGCTGTTATTTTGAGCGACCGTGTCATTTCTGTTGTTGTCTGCGTGTGTGTGTGTGTGTGTAAGAGAAACAGGTAGATAGGTAGATAAGGAGATAGTTAGATTGGTAGGTAGATAGATGATAAGGTAGATACATATATAGATAGACAGGTAGATAGATAGGTAGGTAGGTTTTCAGGTAGATATATAGATAGATAGATAGATAGATAGATATACAGGTAATAGCTAGACAACTAGAGAGACAGATAGACAGAGAGAAAAAGAGAGAGGGGGAAGAGGAGAGGGGGAGTGATAAAGGTGATTAGAAAGAAAGGGAAAGCGACAGTAAAAGACAAAGAAGAATAAGAGATGAGAGAGAAAGAAAGAGGAGGGAGGGAGAGAGAGAGAGAGAGAGAGAGAGAGAGAGAGAGAGAGGAAGAGAGTGAGAGAGAGATATAGAGGAAAAAGAAAGAAAAGGGGAAGGCAAGAGAACACAACAAAGAAAGAGAAAGAGAAAAAAAATATAAAGTAGTAAAAAGAATTACAAGAAAAAAATACGAGAAAAAGAGAACCAGAAAGAAGAAAATAGAAACAGAAGCCCAGGCTAATGATCGCCCATTTTCCACAGGACTGGCAGCTTCACCTCCGCTACGTGCAGGTGCGGGATGCAGGAGAGTACGAGTGCCAGGTGTCGTCGCATCCTGCCACGAGCCTCTTCTCCACACTGCAAGTCGTCGGTGAGTGCACAGCCAAGGATTTCACTGTTAGTCCTTTCCAATTCCGTGTTTGGTTCGAGGATTTCGGTGTTGGTCTTTTCTATGTTATGTCTGTTTCCAGGTATTTCACCGTTATTTCCTTCTATTTCGTGATTGCTTTCAGGATTTCATTGTTATTCATTTCTAATTCCGTGTCTGGTTCTAGGATTTCACTGTTAATCCTTTCCATTCCGTGTCTGGTTCTAAGATTTCGGTGTTAGTCTCTTCTATATCACGTCTGTTTCCAGGTATTTCACCGGTATTTCCTCATTTCTAATTCTATTTCGTGACTGCTTTCAGGATTTCACTGTTATTCATTTCTAATTCCGTGTCTGGTTCTAGGATTTCACTGTTAGTCCTTTCCATTCCGTGTCTGGTTCTAGGATTTCAGTGTTGGTGTCATCTATGCCATGTCTGTTTCCAGGTATTTCACTGTTATTTCCTTCTATTTCGTGATTGTTTTCAGGATTTCATTGTTAGTCATTTCCATTCCGTGTCTGGTTCTAGGATTGCGATGTTAGTCTCTTCTGTTTCGTGTCTGTTACAAGGATTTCAATGTTGGTTCTAGGATTTCGATGTTAGTCTCTTCTGTTTCGTGTCTGTTACAAGGATTTCAATGTTGGTCCTTTCTATGGTATGTCTGTTTCCAGGTATTTCACTGTTATTTCCTTCTATTTCGTGACTTTTTTCAGGATTTCGGTGTTAGTCCTTTCCAATCCCGTGTCTGGTTCGAGGATTTCACTGTTAGTCTCTTCTGTGTCGTGTCTGTTATAAGGATTTCAGTTTTTTCTGTTATGTCTGTGTCCAGGTATTTCACCGTTATTTCCTTCTATTTTGTGACTGTTTTCAGGATTTCACTGTTAGTCATTTCCAATGCTGTGTCTGGTTCGAGGATTTCAGTGTTGGTCTTTTCTATCTCGTGTCTGTTACCAGGTATTTCACTGTTGTTTCCTTCTATTTCGTGACTGTTTTTAGGATTTCACTGTTAGTTATTTCTATTTGTGTCTGTTTCCAGGATTTCATTGATTATCCCTTCTATGTCTGTTTCCCTTCGTGTCTGTGTTTTTTTTGTTTTCCTGAAGATAGTTCATCCAACTAGTTGATGTTCTTCCGTCCTCACTTTTCCTTTTTATTCTTATTTCATCCTTCTCCTCTCCTCCTCCAAATAAATACCTCTCGGCCTAATTCCACCTATGGGGAAATTCCCTTCCTTTCCTCTTCCTTCCTTCGCTTCCTTCCCTTCCTTCGCACTCCTCTTACAGGAAGTGAATCTGAGGATCTCCTATTCTACCGCAGCCGCCCATCCACTCCTTAATTCACTCCCAAAGTTATCCTCTCTCTCTCTCTCTCTCCCTCGCCTCGCTGTGGTCAGCCTCGTTTTCACGCTCCAAGGCGAAAAGGGAGCTGTCGGCCGCCCGTCTCGTAGGTTTCCTATCAGGCCTCTTCACGCCCTGGGTTGTCGGATTCCATTTTCTTGGTAGGAGTTCCCTTATCCACCTATTGGGTTAGGCCTATTGAGTTTTGAAAAGGCGGCTCGTCGGCGATCTACGGAAGGAGCGAGCGAACGACGTCGTAAATGGGTTTAAACAGAAGGAGAGTGATCCAGAGGCAGCGCGAGGTAAGTGGTCCACAGAGAGCAAGGGTGAATAATTCAGGCGGCGGAAACTCTGTACGAACGGTCCGAGGGGGAAAGTGCTTGGCCGCTCGAAGTTAGAGGGAAGTTTCAAAAGAGTCACTTGTCCAGATAAGACTCGAACCGTAAGTAAATGAAACGGGTCGCTCACCGTGAGAGATTCGAGCAAGAAAATGACGGGAGGTTGGGGGAAGATATTGTCCAATCACGAACGAAGACAAACGTCGAGATCGAGAAGAGGAAACGAATGAGAAAGGAGACGAAACAAAGTGGTAAGTGAAGCGAGGGAGAGCGGTAGTTAAGGAAAGGTTACTGCCGCCCTGGATCTCCGGCCTTCCATGGAACCTGTCACGGCGTGTTTACTTTACGCCCAGTGTCATGGCGGAGGGAAAAAAACTCACGGTAGATGATGTATTGGTAATGAATGAGGCGCAGAGGGGAGCATGCGCCTGTGCTTCATCTTGTAGTGAAGGTCATCATAAAGGGTAATGCTGTAGTGCTTAGTGGCGATTCTGTAAAATGATGAACTTAATTGAGTTCGTGCGTAATGCGACGCGGTTTCCATGAATGATTTAATGAATCTCTCAATGAAAGAAAAAAAGACCCTTCCCGCATATTTCTTAGAAATATTTAGAGCATCTCCAGTAGCTCGTGTTTGCAGTACGATGACCTGATGAATTTCCTTGAGCATTTCCCTTTAAGAGAACCGTAAAATATTGGTTATTGTAGTGTTGGAAATCCCGGAGAAGGAAAATGATCACAACGGGGAATTCTCCCCATTATCGGATGGTCTTGGGCCCAATAGAAGGAAAGGGACGTATTCACGGGAAATGCGAGAGTAAATAAAAACACTGGAAGCACATGCATTGATTCCAACCAAGGAAAGGGGAAATTACAAAGCCTGTGTTAGAAATACAAGCTAGCAGGTAATATATCAAAGTCTAAATATTTATGTTGGATGATGGAGGAAAGTTATCATTCCTATTATGATATCCTTTTTATCAGTCAATTCAATATCATTGTTATAGATGGTCCAAAGTAACTGTAAAGATTTGTTAGACGAGAGCAAGCACAATATTTATCACTTATGATTAACTAAAGTAAATTTCCGTCACAGATTGCATTCTCCTTTCTTTCTTCTTTCATATAACGTACTCTTCCTTCTTCCTGAGGTATTCAGTAACCTACTTGTATGGAAAATACTGTGTTCTTCCTGTTTACTCCTTTTCTCATCCGATAAGGAAGCTCCCTATCCTCCATTCCATCCTCCACAGGGGAATCCTTGTCCTCCTTCATTCTGCAAAAGACCTTCCCCCTCCTCCTCTGCGCCTCCCCTGCGCCTCCCCTGCGCCTCCTCTGCGCCTCCTCCCGCCGGTCGTTCTTGCCCTCCAAGGCCACTTTCCCTCCTCCGCGCCCAGATATCTCTCCAGTTTCGTTCCGTTCCCTCCCTGAGACGCTTTTCCCTTCCTACGCAGCTCCCCTCCCGCGAGGCGCCCTCCCCTTCCATCCTTTGTCCCACAGGATATAACCTCTTCCTTTTCCATGAATCATATCCTCCTTTGCTCCCCTTGCCGCCTATCCCTGGGGAGCCTCTTCCTCGCACGCCCGCTCTGCCACCAACAGAGGAATGTGAATGCTAAGGTGGCCGGGTCATGTATAACAGCGCAGTGGTGTGCAGGCGCGCGCTGGATCGCTTCCTGCATGTCTCTCTCTCTCTCTCTCTCTCTCTCTCTCTCTCTCTCTCTCTCTCTCTCTCTCTCTCTCTCTCTCTCTCTCTCTCTCTCTCTCTCTCTCTCTTCTTCATTTTTGTATAATCAGAGAAGAATTCAAAACTGATGAACACGTTTACTGCAGTACATAATAGCGTACTTTTAAATTCTGGAGTCGGCTTTAATTAAAAGTATTGCATTTACATATACGTTATTGGATTACACGCCCCCTGTCCATTCAATATCTTTGCTTCCTTCCATTTTACCATTCTTATTCGCTATTCTTTTAATGTCGTGTATTTCTCTCTCGCAGGTTCCTGAATAGTCCCTTTAACTGTTCATGCGATATATTCAAAAGCTTTATTTTTTCTCCCTTTTCTGTCCAGGATTTCTAATTCCCGTCAGCTTGTTTTTACAGCTTGTCCCAGGAACACTTTCGAAGGACTTGTACCAGAACGACTTAAATGGAACAAAAACATCCTCTACACACAGTCTTTTGTTTAGAGGAAGATTTTTAGGCATTAATGTACTCTTAACATCCATTCTAATTCATAGGTGTCTAACATTTAATATAGGTTATTCATCAGCTTGAAGTTATTATAGCTAAAGTCCGCCTTTGTTCTCGCTCTCAGATTCCTTTGTTCTATTTCAGAACTTGCCGCATGAAACAACTACATGTCTTTTTTGTTTTTTTATTTCTTTTCTACTTCTTTTGTGTTTGTTTTTTATATGTTTGTTTCTTTGTTTATCAATGCTTCCTGTTTTATCCGTTGCCTTATTGTATTTCAAATTATGATTTATTTTTTGCTTTATTTATTAATAGTCTATGTATTTTCATACTTTCTTTTTTCCTTATTTATCTTAACCTTCTAACTCTCAAAAGACATCACCGTTCTTTTTTACTGAATGTTAATATTTTCACGTCGACACTGTTTTTATTTTTTCCTCTCTCTCTCTTTTTTATCCTTATGTATTTTTCATGATTTTTTATCTATTCATTTCTCCATTCCTTCTGTCGATTTTATTTTACTTTATCATGTGCTTTAGTCTCGTCGATCATACTCATGACTATAGGCCTTTTTCGTAGCATGGAACCCCTAACATTTTGATACATTGTTTCAAGTTGTATCACGGTCGCTACAAAACACGATATCAAAGTTTGTACTGACATGCAAAGTATTAAAAAAGAAGTCCTTATCCTTATTTGTTTTACATAAAGAAAGTCATTAAAAACATTAAAGTATATATAATGTGCTAGTATGATTTTTGATGACAAGCAAGACATTGTGGAAGCATCAAATGAAATGGAAAAAAAGTACCTGATTACTCGGCGGCTTATATTGATTATACACACCACTCTCCGCTTCGCAAGGATGTGGAAACTTTAAATATATTTCTCAGATTCTGTCAATATTTTTTTTTCTTATTCCATGCATTATTCCTTATATGAGAAGTGGAAAATCCATAAGGTTTTTTAACTTATCGAGTGAGTTCCGTGTTCAAATCAGATAAATGTGTAATTCTAATAATC